CTCGGCAGCGATTAACAGCAAAAGGAAAAATAACACCGCCACAGTCGCCTGTGTGTTGTTCACACACTCTTTGCTTTGATGGCTTGTCAGAGGCACAGGGTCAGACTTCCAGCTAACCACAGCAGCGAGTCATAAAGCGGAGATCTCTAAAAAGAGGGCTCTGAGCCAAGGCTACTTCCCAAAACTGAAGTGCTGGAGAGAAAAAAAGAAAAATTACAGTAAACGTGACTCGCATTCCCAGAAACCCAGAGTGGGGCCCGGGTAACGTTACAGTCCACCGCACACAACAGAAACCATCTATTGGGAATTGCACTGTGTGAAGTGAGAAAAATGAAAACACAGACAAGCTAATCATTGTGTGTGTGTGTGTGTGTGTGTGTGTGTGTGTGTGTGTGTGTGTGTGTGTGTGTGTGTGTGTGTGTGTGTGTGTGTGTCTGTACCAAGCAAATCAATAACTGCTTATGTATTTAATGGCTAATAACTCTTAGTTATAGTTGTCTTAATAGTTCTTTTTTCACATTCACAGTGTCCTTGTCCTTTGAAATGGGGTTAGATCTTATAATGGGCCTGGATTTCCAAAAAGGTTATAAACAAATGAATGGATCAAAAAATTGAAACAAACTTTTATTAATGGTTTAAGAAAGCTTTGTTTTAAATGAAACAAAGTTTGAAGGCTGATGAATCGATAGACGGATGGTGAGAAATAAATAGATACAGTAGATGGACACATAAAAGGATGGATGGTTGGATTTGAAGGACAAATGAGTAGATGGATGGAGGAACAGATGAGTGGATTTTTGGATTTAGAGGATGGATGGATGGATGGATGGATGGATTGACGGACGAACGAACAGATGAGTTGTTGGATGGATGGAAAGATGAGTTGTTGGATGAATGGGCAGATGAGTGGATGGTTGAATTTGAGGGATGGATGGATGGATGGATGGATGGATGGATGAACAGACGGACGGATGAGTGGATGACTGCATTTGAGGGACAAATGAGTGAATGGATGGCTGGATGGATGAAAGAACATGAGTTGATGCTTGGATTTGAAGGACAAATTAGTGGATAGATGGATTGATAGACTGATGGATGGAATGATGAGTAAATAGTTGGATATGAAGGACAAATGGATGGATGGATGGATGGATGGATGGATGGATGGATGGATGGATGGTTGGTTGGATGAACAGACGGATGGATGAGTGTATGGTTGGATTTGAAGGACAGATAAGTGGTTGGATGGCTGGATGGATGGAAGAACAATAGTTAATGGTCAGATTTGAAGAACAAATGAGTGGATGGATGGAAAGATGGATAGACAATTGAGTGAATGGATGGCTGGACAGATGGATGAGTGGACAGTTGGATTCGAAAGACAAATATGTGGATGGATGGATGGATGGATGGATAAATGGATGGATGGATGAGTTAGATGGACCGAAGGACAGATGAATAGATGAACAGATAAATGGAAATGATGGTTTGATGTATGAACTGATGGACAAAAGGGCAAAAATAGGTATGATGTATGGATAAGGAGATACTATGAATGGATAGATGGATGGATAAATATATAATATGAATGGATGTCCAGACGGACAGAAAGACAGATTGATGTAAAGATGAACAGATAGAAAGAAAGATAAAATAAGATTAGATTGAACTATTTAACTTTGGAACCAGCTTTGAAGCACTTTCAATTTCCCAGAACACATTGCCTGCTAAATTTATTTCAATCGCAATTAAGTAAATTCAAGTTCCAAATCATCTTTGTGTGCATTAGAACCAATTAATAGCGAGAAGTGAATCCCATTTTCCACCACCAGCTGTAAACTCGTCACTGAGCTCTCGAAACCCTAAAACAGCTCTGACACGATTATGCGGCTGGGTATTTTTGTGAATTGGGTTACCACCTACCTCATGTTACAATATGACCGCCTGATAACGTCCCATGCAAGGATGAAACCAAATCTGCCAAGGATACGCTCTATCAAAGACATGCACTATAAAACAAAACAACCGCCTACACTGTTATTTCTTTGGGGATAATTGTAACCTGTCTTTTAACCATTAGACTGATGACTCCTCTGTGTTTTCAAATAGTCCTCCCCTTAGACTCATCTCTCTCTCACTGAATGATTTCTTTCAGTGCCAAGTCCCTAAATGACGTCTTGCTTCAATGATTTCACAGATCGGACATCAATCAATAACACCACAAAAACAGGTCAGTTTTTCAATATCTGCACCACTGATAAATGATTAATTATAGTTTGCTTATGATTGTAAATGCAGGGTATTGATGGGTTGTGCTCTAGTTATGAGATGAAAAAAACATTTAATTCATTCAATAAAATCCTAACAGTCTGAAGCCAAAGAGAGAGAGAGAGGATGTCAAGGCGGAAATATTAATCTAGCTTTCATAAGAAAGCCCGGGCATCACGCCAACCATGGACTGCAGTGTACTTCATTGTCCACTGGCACATAATGTACAAGTTAAATCAACATTTCCTTTAGGTTATAATTTGAAAGGGCAAAGTCCTTCATTGTGGACATGTAATATGAGTAAAACCGTAAACACATTTACAGACTGAATTTTTGTTGCATACAAATTAAACAGAAAAATGTTTTGGCTGCCTTCGAGATTCAATTCGGATATTATTTGCAGCTCTGAAAGAGTCTAATATGATGTCATGCTTTTATATGACCATTCACAAATCTTGCTTGAGTCTGCCACTGACCTCAACACCTCACAAATGATTCAATGAACACCGCGCGGACAGTGTACTGTAACCAGACTCAACAATTTAAACAAGTGGTAAAAACTAAACTGATTCATTTTGGGAGTCATTCTACGTAACTCCGGTCACAATTCAATCTCATAGATACAAAAAACAAGGTCATGTTTTGTTTTATTGTACAATTCATGCTATTAAGAAACCATTAACTAAGACTTTTAGCTCAATAAACTACTAATTTGCTACTTATTGATAGTTGGTAAGGTAGAAGTTGGATTTAGGTAATGGGTAGGATTAGGGATATAAAATAAGATCATGCATCATAAGTGCTAATAAACAGTTATTATCTTAATAATAGGCATGTAATAAGCCTGTAGTAAATGGTGTGAATTTTTAGTTAAACTAAAGCATTACCGAAACAATCCTTGAAACTCATTGTAAGAAGTTCCAGTTTTAAGTCCTACACATTTCAGTCACACTTTATTTTGATGGTCCGTTTGTTGAATTCAAGTTGCATGGTGTAAGTTGACATGTACTTGCAAAGTTTCTTATAGTCAGTTAAATGTCTGTTGAAGTGGTTGGTTGTCTGTTGAGGTGGGTGGAGGTATTGGTAGGTTGGTCAGTTAGTTAGTCAGTCAGTTACTCAACAGCGGCCTCTGGTGGATTTATGTGAGAACAGCAGGCGCGAATTGCACTCACAAGAGAAATTTGAGATCTGAAAAAGCGTACACATCGGCTTCTGGCATATTTTACGAAAACAAAAACTGCAAAAAATGTAGCTCCTGGGACGTATTTTGCTCTCTCTGTAAATGTATATAGGGGTACGTTATCAGAATGAGTCTAGATTCAAATTATGAAGGGTTGCATGAACACCATGGATTCCAATACAAATTTTTAAAGTTATTAACATTAATAGCAGTGTATTGTTGATGATGTGCTTGTTTTTGGCCTTTTCACGTTGTCTTGCTGAGAAAGATGAGATGTAATGCAGTGACATCAGACCTGGTTCATACTAGCGGAAAAGAGGTACATGTTCCCAATGGCTGTAAAAGTGTTGCATTACCAGTATTTTCACTTTAGGTGTGAACAAATGACTTGCTGTGACTGGCTAAAACAAAACTACTAATAAAAATGACAAACAAAAGGAATCATGCATGTAATTCAGCTTTTTCAGGAGGCTTACCTGACATACAAAGCCAAATCCTGGAGGCACGCCAATGCCAGAAACGTTTCATAAAACCACACGCACACTCTCATGTGTTTGCTCAGCCCCACCATTGGCCACTATAACAGTGATGTAATCCTGCCTTGTCACTTTCTCACAGCTCAATAAGAAAGGCAAATTAAGTTCCTTCAAAGTTACTCAACTCCGCGTCGCCAAACATGTTTTCTCAAATCTTTCCAGGGGCATGATTTGTCTGCGCACACACATTCCCCACTGTTTGCCCAGGAGCATGTTGAAGAGGAGGCGAGAAACATTGGCACATACGTCAGACTTACAGCTTTATCCTCCACTGACATTTTATTTGACAGCTTTATTCACCTTTATGTTAGGCCTGGCTAGCTGTTAAACCTCCACCGTTCCGCTGTCACACACAAAAGCATACAACTGGAGCAGGTATTCTCTCTACGTCAATGCACTGAGACGTGGCACAGCAGCGGAATGGCTCACAGCTGCCCAGATTGAGTTACCTTCCTTTTGACGTACTTTCAGCTCTCAGTTTCTGTCCATCTTTCTCTCACACACACATGCGAAAACGCATTTTGCGAATGACACAAAATAGATGCACAGCCTACTAATCTGTCCAGCAAAACAGCATTTAATGCATCTCAAGTATCCTTTGCAAATACACCAATCCCACAATGCACTAACAAGCTCATTGACTCCCAAAAAATCTAGTACATGATGAATGGAATACAGTTCATTCTATACTGAACTTAGAATGAACCGATTTTGGTTAATTTGTATTGTATTTTATCGTATTTTACTATTTGCATCATTAGCTTAGCAACATGCTAACCTCAAATAAAGTTTCACCTTTCTTTCTTCATGCGAAGAATCAAGTTGATGCCCGTGTAAACAATTCCAATCGGCTATTTATGAAATTATATTCACATGAGCACATTTTGGGACAGAGCTAAACTCTCGACTTTGCTTGAAATTCTCCCACGCTAACATAAACACAATGGTTTGTACATCGACAAACAAACGTCACAGTTTCAAACAGCAATACCTGTCATTTTAGGATTACACCTTACCTGGTTCATCCCATGGGCCTCATTCACAGCAATTAACAACAAACAGGCATCCTTCCATCGCCCCCATCCACCTGCCCTGGGAACACCAATACAGATGTACTGTAAAAAAGGGAAAGAGAAATCACATGGAAATCTTCCTATAACAGAGGGTGTGTCTTGGTAAACCCTCCCAATCACACACACACACACAAACACACACACACACACACACACACACACACACACACACACACACACATACACACACACATAAAAAATAAGAACTGAAGAAGGAAGCATACTCCCTTTAGAAAGAAAATCAGAAACCTGGCGCTCCTATAAAGGGAAAGAAACTCTAGCTCTCATCCTCTTGCTGGCACCGGTGCCGGTTTCTTCATAACACAAACCCCCTTAAGCGCACACAAGCGTGTAAAATCCCAGAGTTCATGGTGTCAGCGTTACAATGAGACATGAAGCCAAGTTTCACAGTGGTCACATTAACCAAGACAGAACTCATATTTTAGGTTGGACCCATAGTTCAGGTTGCCTAAAGGAATGAAAAGTCTAACCTTTATTGATGATCGAAATTTGTAGATTACATGTAAAGCTTATGTGTTTATAAAGTTTCAGCTCAAAACATCAGAGTATTTATTATACTTTTCAGAATATTGGAATTTTGTTGCTCTGAACACAATGTAGCTGTTTTTTGTTTTTTTTGTCCTGTGCCTTTAATGCTAGTTCTCCTCGCCCACCATTCCTACGTGCCTGTAAGAGTGTGCCTCAATCAGTCCAGCTGCATCAGATAAACAGCACAGTGACAGACATGAAGAAAGCAGATCTCACGTAACGTTTGTGAGAAATACTACAGTAAGAACTTCCCCAATGATTATTTGATGTATTTGTTGTGGATTCAATTCAAGCCTTTCTGCAATGACGAGTCTAACCAAATGTTGTTACAAAGTTCATGCACACAGTTTTTGCACGGCAAATGTGACAGGGTACACATTAATATCCACTTCTGTATGGATATCCGTTATGTTAATGTACAAAATAAACCTGATTTAACGTCCACAAACCGGGATTGAAGCGGTGGGCCTCAAAATGGGAGGGATTTGGATCCTATTTTAACGTCAGAAAATTAAAAAAAGAGACTTAGTATGTTTAAATCACTTCAATATGACTGTGGACACACTATACATACACAGTTCTGTCCGAACAGCTTATAAAAGATGATTTTCATCATAGATGCCCTTTAATGACTTTTATTGTATAATACTATACTAACTAAAATCAGTTTAATTTTGGGTGAACTGTTTCTATAAATCAGACTTGTTTTTCACCTGCTAACCTTTTATTTTCTTCTGCTAATGTCTAGACTTGCATGTACACAAATATTTATTTCTTTGTTTTCCCAAGAAGTCTTGGGTTGCAAAATAACACAAGGTTAAGTCAATGACACAATTAATGATGTCCTCTAGATGGCATTGAGATACTGAGTAAATGGAAACTTTTATTTCCGGTATAGTCCACCCAAAAATAAATTCTTCTACACCAATTTTTGACACAAACCTATATAAGTTTCTTTTGTGGAACACAAAATGTATGTAAGTTAAAGAACCCAGTAACTTTTTTTGTATGGAAGACATTTATTTAAGGTTTAAGATTTGAGTCCCAGCTGGGCCAGTATTCATTTTTATGTGGATTTTGCATGTTCTCCCCATGTTCACGTGGGTTTCCACCAGGTGCTCCGGTTTCCCCCACACTCTAAAGACATGCTGTATAGGTGAATGAATAAGCTAAAATGGCCGTAGTGTATGAGTGTTTTTGTGAATGCAGGAGTGTACAGTGTGTAAAACATATGCTGGATTAGTTGGCGGTTCCTTCCACTGTGGCATACTCTGAAAAATAAGGTAGTAAGCCAAAGGAAAATGTATGAATAGCCACAAATTATTCTTCTAAAGTTCTTGTAGATGTCTCGGACTGTGCTTTTATTTTACCAGATCGAATCTGGGTTGTAATCATAATGTCCAGGAAACAATCAATTTTTTTCCCCTCTTAAGTAAGTTAAGGGACACAATGACCTTAAACAATACTCACTTCCAGGTTCCTGAACAGTAAAATTGTCCACTGGATTTCCCAAACACACACATACACTTACAAATATCCATCCCCTTTACTTATTCTTATTCTGCACCGAGTGCTAAGAATCATGGCAGTGTTTAAATGTCGACCCGGTCACACACTCCACTGACACTCAAACACTGAGTAACTGTAATAGTGGCACCCGGGCTTGTTACCGTGGAGACCAAGGAGGAGAGAGGGAGTCTGCTTCCCTCCCGAATCTTTTGACACATTTGTCCGACTCGTTTTAAACACTCAAACATATCACAGAATGGAAAAACCACTGACCCGCAACACTTCCTTCAGATCTTGCGATGTTAAAACGATCATTGATTAAACTCAGGCCTGACCTAGAATATTTCAGGGGCAGTGACATCACCTGTCTGCGTCAGCACAAGTCTCATTAGCTGGCGGTGATTAAGGCACCTAGCAGTGCTGAAATATGAGTTAACATGCTGCTAATGAGCATGAACTTTTCAAATCCTCCTACAATGGATCAGCACAATGGACAGAATTGGGCCTTGGTGGATGCAAACGCACACAAAGCTTGTGTATGCAAATATGCAAACATGCTTTTGTAAGTACAGTGTCATATGTACCCTGTACCAACAAAAGAACGGCACGTCTTGTCATGTGTGTTTAGCTGAGGTGTAAACCTACTCTGTACACAAACTTAAGACATCCTACTAGTTTGATCGCACTTAATTTGCTTTCTGTAAAGTTATGACTTGTTTACTCTGGAATGACAAAAATGCATCTAAACACCCAATCATTGGAGTGGGGGGATGACGATAAATACAGGAGTAAACAAGGTTACTTTAACAACTCCCAGTAATACTCTAAACCAATCTTACCAGATTGACACACATCTTAAAAATTACTGAATGTGTTATTGAAGCAGGATAGCAAGACAAGTTTTAAAGTTTCCTCTCGGAAATTAAGTTTGGTTTGAAGGCGGCAAAATGTAAAGGTTGCCTTTTTCTCTGACAACAGCATTCAGGATAGATTGGAGCTATTAGAGCAGAAACAAAAACTTTTGCTAGTTTTCCCTTATCGCTTTTCAAGTTCAAATTCATATCGAAACTTCATTCACCAGTTCACCGACCCTCAAAACAATAAGTAACGTGTTCGAAGCGGACTAACAAGTCAGGAATGTGTCGTTCTATCTACTTTTGTGATCCAACTTACCATAAAGCATCTTCATTCATTCATTCATTTTCTTTTTTGGCTTAGTCCCTTTATTAATCTGGGGTGGCCAGAGCAGAATGAACCTTCAACTTATCCAACATGTTTTATGCAACCCATCACTGGGAGACATCCATGCCCACTCATTCACACACATACACTACCGCCAATTTAGCCTTCCCAATTCACCTATAGCACATGTCTCTGGACTTGTGGGGAAAACCGGAGCACCTGGAGGAAACCCACGCGAACATGGGGAGAACATGCAAACTCCACATAGAAATGCCAACTGACCCAGCCGAGGCTCAAACCAGCGACCTTCTTGATGTGAGGCGATTGTGCTACCCTCTGTGCCACCGTGATGCCCCAAGCATCTTAATACCAGGTACAAACAAGTTATTACATTACACCCAGAGGGTAAACAACATTTCGCCCAAAAATACAGTAGATGTCAATGGGATCCAAAGACTCTATAGCAGAGGTGCCCAAAAGTAGGGCCTGTCTGCCAAAGTTGGCCCGTGGTAACCTTTGGTTTGGCCAGCCATCCCATCTGAAAAGAGAGGGGGGAATGCCTTTGACAAAGATCGTCTTTTTTGAATTTAATGTAACCTTTTGTTTCTTTGTTTAAATGTTGTAAATGAATCAGACTTTTAAATGTAAATACTGGCACTTGACAGATAGAGGACAATGCACAAGACATCTGCAAGCAAATCAAGGCAAAGGCAGGAGCAGCTCGACTAGTTTATTCAGCAATCAACTCCATTGTTATAAACAGGGTTGTTTATGTTTTTTCCATTATAAAATGTTAAAATAAAATGTTAATATATGTTTTAAAGCAATGTTTTCTAGTTATTTTTAGATAATATGCAAGTAAATTAGGAAATTACGCATAGCAAATTTAATGTAATACAGTTTGTTATATTTAACTTCGACCCACGTTCAAGTTTGGTTTTTGGCCCTTTATTATAAAAAGTTTTGGCAACCCTGCACTATAGACTTCCATTGGATGGACACAAACGTTATTCGAAATATATTTTATTTATTACATTTTGCTAGCCATATTATTCAGAAAATCAGGTAACACTTTATTTTGATGGTCCATTTGAGTAGTAGTAGACTGTCTACATAATATCTGTTGATAGTGCTCCTTTAGCAGACATTTAACTGACTATAAGAAACTTTGTACATGTCAAATTACCCTTATCCTAACCCCAACCTAGAATCCCAGAAACCCAGAATTAGTTGGCATGTAGATGCAATATAATTTCAAGAGTTCACACTTAGATACTGTTTGACAACTTGTTAGCAAGTTAGCAGGTTTGGCATGCTGTCCCGGGAGAGAACCCTGAGCTCGGAGATAGTTGAGCCCAGGGCTCCCGCCAGGTCCATAAAGCATGTGAGGAAAGTATGAGGTCAGGTGTTCTCGAGAGCTCCCCTCGGCAAAAGAGGAAAGGAGGAGAAGGGGTGGATGGGGGGTTTCTTCGGGAAACGAAGATAAGGGAGTAGATCTTAGCTAGGTTATTTATAGTGAGTTTGGATCTTGGGTCATTGGCTTGCCAATGAGTGTAGATGAGTGGCCAGCTGCAGTCAATCATATCACGTGCTCTTCTCGAAATTAGTTTGTGAAACTTCATTTAAATTCAACAAACGGACCATCAAAATAAAGTGCGACTAAAAATCATACTGTTTCATTGATTGACTGATTGATTGATTGTTGTAGTATGCCTTTATTACTGTTCCTATTCAATTATTAGGGTTGAGTATTTTTATTTTGTAGACACACATGAATATTTATACACAAATTTCTTTAATGC